TTTTCTTCTATGTATTAATGTACATAAAATAAACAGTTCCAAATAAAAATATGAATACCCATCTATTTAATCGGGAGTGTTTTATTTACAGTAAAAAACAATAGCATTAATTCAAATATATTATTTATTACATAAAAAATTCATTCAATTTTTGCTTATGCTGTCTTGTCAAATATTTCAAATGAATCTTGCAGACACATGTTTATTTGATAAAACGTACGTTTATAAATAGTTATATTAAGTAAAGGATGCACATGTTTTACTAGTCGTTTTTACTCTTTCTACTTACTTATACAGCAGCATCAAGACCTGGTTTTTCTTTCTCACTAATGTTGGCTAACAGTTTCTTTATTTCTGCAATTGCCTTTCCAGGATTTAATCCCTATTACAAAAAACATAGTAGTTTGAATTCGATGAATTGTATAATATTATAAAGATACTCACCTTTGGACAAGTGCGAGTACAATTCATAATAGTGTGACAACGGTATACTGAAAACGGATCTTGCAATTTCGAAAGACGTTCTTTTGTCTGAGTGTCTCGTGAATCAATGATCCACCTATAGGCTTGCATAAGTACAGCAGGTCCTAAGTATTTATCACCATTCCACCAATATGATGGACAAGAAGTGCTACAGCAAGCACATAATATGCATTCATAGAGACCATCCTATGTTATAAAAAAATGATCAGTTATAATTTTACCGGATCTCAAGATCTCACTACAGTTAAATGTAAAGTACCAATTTTTTACGGTCGTCAACACTTTGCAAGTATTGCTTGGAGCCAACTTCTTTCCTGTCACCACGTTGTAACCATGGCTGTATACTTTTATACTGATTATAAAAGTTATTCAAATCGGGAACTAAGTCTTTTACTATGTACATATGTGGTAAAGGATAGATCTTGCTACTTGAGCCTAAATTAGTATCAATTTTGCTGAAAGAATCACATATATCATTCACATTTTATTTCTAATTTCATATTTGTTGTAGTAAAAGAATATAAAAATACTTTTCAATTACCTAATACATGCCAAAGTATTTGTGCCACCAATGTTCATAGCACAAGAACCACAAATGCCTTCACGGCAAGAACGACGAAAAGTTAAAGTTGGATCAATCTCATTTTTTATTTTAATCAATGCATCCAAAACCATAGGTCCACAGCTACAATATTTCTTCCAAATTACATAAATGAAATATAAATAACCAAATAACATTGTTACTTTGATCACTAAACTTACGCATTTAAATCTACTTTATAATCTTGCATATGTGGTTTTTCATCAGGTTTATCTGGATTCCAACGATATATAGAAAAGGTTTTCATCCTGGCTGCTGCATTTTGGTTAGAAGAGGTATGTAAACCTCTAACCTAAAATAACAAACACAAAATTTATATTAAAAAAATCAAATTCGAACGTGGTTAATTATTTTATATATATCCATTGGAAAACATCACTTGCTGAAATATTTATAAATAAAACGAGTGGCAGCAATTATATAATTATAATTGGTTGTGTTTAGTAGACTTGCATTACTGCATACAGGGAATTAATAAATAATATTTGACACAAGGATATAAAGTAAGAATACTGTTCAATTATAGTCTATGCAAGTATCGTGAATGTTTCTACAGAAATGTCAAATTGTACAAACAAAAAATCTATTGATCTGACATTAGTAGCAGAACGCATTAGAATTAAATCGTTACCGACTCCTTGCACAACACATAATAATGTAAAAAAACCACATCATGCTATAAAAGTTTAATTGTTCATTAATTGTTTAAATACTTACTTGCCGAAATACATTTCTGCAAGCTTGTGGGGTGATGCTAGCCATTTTTTAAAATATGAATTGAAGTGGAGGCGTTTGCGGTACCTGTGTTATGTAAGTTTGCACGTGAATGTGTACCAACTTTACTGCTACACTCCCCCTTTGCTGTACGTACTCGATCTACACAGCAATATTACATATGTTTGTATGCTACATATGTATGTATATGCGAATCCAAAAACACTGTCAAATACATACATATTACCTTGACGATAATAAATGCGCAAATTCACACAGTCTCATTGCGCAAACTAATATAAAACTTAGCTCTATTTTAATAAAACTTAATTTAATAAAATGTTGAAAAATCTTATTAATATTTGGAATGTTGCTAAATACGTATGAGTATTATTTTCATGGTTCAAAAAGTATGCCTTATACGTAGACATTGTACGTTTAATTATAAAGATAAATTATTTTTAATCTAACTCGCAATATGAGATATATCAATATAGCTTGTATACACTTCTTTATTCTTCGTGTGATTTTATAAGTCGATATTTATATATTTCAATATAAATACGTTATCAAATACAAGAGCTGTCTCTTATACACATCTAGATGTGTATAAGAGACAGGCCATATACTTTCTTTCTACGTATTGTTTATAGATGTGTATAAGAGACAGGCCATATACTTTCTTTCTACGTATTGTTTATAGATGTGTATAAGAGACAGGCCATATACTTTCTTTCTACGTATTGTTTATAGATGTGTATAAGAGACAGGCCATATACTTTCTTTCTACGTATTGTTTATAGATGTGTATAAGAGACAGGCCATATACTTTCTTTCTACGTATTGTTTATAGATGTGTATAAGAGACAGGCCATATACTTTCTTTCTACGTATTGTTTATAGATGTGTATAAGAGACAGGCCATATACTTTCTTTCTACGTATTGTTTATAGATGTGTATAAGAGACAGGCCATATACTTTCTTTCTACGTATTGTTTATAGATGTGTATAAGAGACAGGCCATATACTTTCTTTCTACGTATTGTTTATAGATGTGTATAAGAGACAGGCCATATACTTTCTTTCTACGTATTGTTTATAGATGTGTATAAGAGACAGGCCATATACTTTCTTTCTACGTATTGTTTATAGATGTGTATAAGAGACAGGCCATATACTTTCTTTCTACGTATTGTTTATAGATGTGTATAAGAGACAGGCCATATACTTTCTTTCTACGTATTGTTTATAGATGTGTATAAGAGACAGGCCATATACTTTCTTTCTACGTATTGTTTATAGATGTGTATAAGAGACAGGCCATATACTTTCTTTCTACGTATTGTTTATAGATGTGTATAAGAGACAGGCCATATACTTTCTTTCTACGTATTGTTTATAGATGTGTATAAGAGACAGGCCATATACTTTCTTTCTACGTATTGTTTATAGATGTGTATAAGAGACAGGCCATATACTTTCTTTCTACGTATTGTTTATAGATGTGTATAAGAGACAGGCCATATACTTTCTTTCTACGTATTGTTTATAGATGTGTATAAGAGACAGGCCATATACTTTCTTTCTACGTATTGTTTATAGATGTGTATAAGAGACAGGCCATATACTTTCTTTCTACGTATTGTTTATAGATGTGTATAAGAGACAGGCCATATACTTTCTTTCTACGTATTGTTTATAGATGTGTATAAGAGACAGGCCATATACTTTCTTTCTACGTATTGTTTATAGATGTGTATAAGAGACAGGCCATATACTTTCTTTCTACGTATTGTTTATAGATGTGTATAAGAGACAGGCCATATACTTTCTTTCTACGTATTGTTTATAGATGTGTATAAGAGACAGGCCATATACTTTCTTTCTACGTATTGTTTATAGATGTGTATAAGAGACAGGCCATATACTTTCTTTCTACGTATTGTTTATAGATGTGTATAAGAGACAGGCCATATACTTTCTTTCTACGTATTGTTTATAGATGTGTATAAGAGACAGGCCATATACTTTCTTTCTACGTATTGTTTATAGATGTGTATAAGAGACAGGCCATATACTTTCTTTCTACGTATTGTTTATAGATGTGTATAAGAGACAGGCCATATACTTTCTTTCTACGTATTGTTTATAGATGTGTATAAGAGACAGGCCATATACTTTCTTTCTACGTATTGTTTATAGATGTGTATAAGAGACAGGCCATATACTTTCTTTCTACGTATTGTTTATAGATGTGTATAAGAGACAGGCCATATACTTTCTTTCTACGTATTGTTTATAGATGTGTATAAGAGACAGGCCATATACTTTCTTTCTACGTATTGTTTATAGATGTGTATAAGAGACAGGCCATATACTTTCTTTCTACGTATTGTTTATAGATGTGTATAAGAGACAGACCTAGTTCAAGGAAAATAACATTTTATAAGATTCTGTCACACCATAATGAGAATTATTTTTGATTAATCTAAATAATACTTATTTTTAATTTAAATATTCTTCAATTTTTATTGTACAATATTATGAATTAGAAATTCTTATTGTTATTGAAATATCACCATTGCCTGTTCGAATATGAGACTGTACACTCAAAGAAAGAACAAGGTCGGTTTTCATTATATCTCTTGAATATTAATCGATGCGATTCATTCATTCAACTCAAATGAATCGACGAATTGTATAAATTGATCGTAAGTAAAATTAATCAAAATTATTCTGTTTACAGGGGAGTTGCATTGTTTGAAAATATAGTGCTTCAAAGCAGAAATAATTTTAATAAACAATACGTAGAAAGAAAGTATATGGCTGATAGTTGGAAATTAAAGGAATATGAAGGACGTAAATTAATAGGGTACGTTTTTAAAAATGTAACATTATTAATCCTGTTACAAGATAATAAAAATATGTATTACAGTCAAACCTGTTTTTGTGTGGTCTTTTTAGTGCGATTTTTTGTGCGACATTTTCATGCAGTATATGAATATAGTCAAATCTGTTTTATGCGGTAGATAGGGACCGCAGAGAAAAACACAAAATAAATCGCATAAAAAAGATCACACAAAAACAGGTTTGACTGTATTTCATATTCTTTTTATATACAGATTTTCAATGGAGCAAATATACGAAGTTGTAGCAGACGTGAAAAATTATAAAGACTTTGTACCATTTTGTAAAAAGTCTGATGTTATATCATATGACGATACCAGTCTTAAAGCTAATCTAGTCATAGGATTCCCGCCAATAAAAGAAAGCTACACTTCAAAAGTAACTATGGTCCGGCCACGTTTAGTAAAAGCCGAATGTACGGATGGTAGATTATTTAATCATTTGAATACTTTGTGGCTATTCAGCCCAGGATTAAAAAATAATGCACAAACGTGTGTAATTGACTTTTCCTTGTCGTTTGAATTTAAGTCATTAATACATTCACATTTTTCGAATTTATTTTTTAATGAAATTGTAAGACAAATGGAGAATGCTTTTATTGAAGAAGCCAAACGTAGATATGGCAGACCCTGTATAAAAACGGTGCGATTAGAAAGATGACAAATCGTGTCAATTGGTTTATTAAACAATTATCGGCAATTGTAAGGAATACTTCAGAAATAAATGAAGCTATACTCATAAAACCTAGGTTTTATAAAGAACATATCCATTATAAATAATTACAATATACATCGAGCTTTACGCATTACGTATAAATGAATATTAACAGAAAGAATATGTACATATTTGAATGTTCACGCCCGGGTTTCGATGCGCCCAAATAGTGTATTGTTAATTGGCTCGATGGCAGCACTATACCGTGCGTAACGAAACCAAAAACTCAGGCGTGAATACTCTCGCATTTTTTCTGTACGTGTAGAGTTGCTTTTTATTGGAGAATAAATTTCAATCGTTTTAGGAACGTTTACCGAATAGCACCTACATATATAAGCGCCACTTGCAACTTGCAACATTTGCTTCCGTCACTTAATGCTGCTTAATGCATTCTTCCGTCGCTTTTGAGTTTCTTATCTAGCTGTTCTACCCGGTCGATGAGTAATGATCATTTACTCGCTCTCGCTACATACCCATCCGTCTTTCGGTGTCATGTATTCGCCCGACAAAATTCTATGTCGCGTGCTTGAATCGTGGAATTTCATGTAAGTTACTGGTGTTTTATGTCAGCGTTAAAAAGGACCCCATAGAAATGGTGAATATAGACACAATTCAAAAGAATTATCCGCTGCACTGGCTCGTATGGAATAACAACTATGTAGAACTAGAAGTGGAGCTGTCTTCGAAACTGGTTTGTAGAAAAAATATCAACCGACTAATAAATCGCATTCAATAATATCGCGACACATACTCATTGTTGAACAGATGCGTTTATAAAAACCGAAGAACCCCAGTGTTTATCGATTGCCAGTTCTTTTGTAAACTAACGTGATAAATGACACTTGTCTTAAATCCCCTTTCTCTCTGGAGGTATTCAGATAATTGTATAATAATAGCGTTGAAACGCAATGGAAATAATCTTTAATAAGACACGATTAACTATTTTGCGCATATATCGTTCAGAATTTTAATGTGAATTGTTGCATGTGAATAAGGTAGATGTTGCTGCAAGCTACAAGCTGGTATTATTTTATATTTATATGTTCATATGAATTTAGGAAAAGATAAGGATTTCAGTTTTATCTCACTATATATTAATTGCTCACTATATATTGATTTATATATATATATAAATGCAACTTTTTATACACTGTCAAAGTAGCTTTATGAGTGAAGCCTCATGCGTGTGGGAAACCATAGATGTTCACTGGCATATAACTTTCGATATGCTTTGAATACGTTATCCAACAATCTGATATAGTCCATAAAATTATTTGGTATTTCGAATCTGTTCAACTTTTAATTCTTCTTAGAATAATATAGAAATTGAAGAAGCTTGTCAAAGTTTAGTATAGAAGCAATACTTCAGTATGCAATAGAAGTTTACCTATCCTGATAAAGCTCATAAAAGTATTATAGTTTTATTTTTCTTGATAATAAAATGATTCGAGATTTTTTAATACTCGGAAGTATAAAAGAATTATGTTTCACGTAATATTTGTAACAATAATTTACAAATACACTAAAAAGATAATAATAACAATTTGTACTTAATTTTGCTAATTGAAATCTTTTTGCAGCATGATATAGAAAAGCCTGATAACAGGGGAAGGACAGCATTGATGTTAGCTGTTACTTTGGGACATACTGAATGTGTTGGAGTATTATTGCACCATGAAGCTAATGTTAACACAGAAAATAGAGAAGGATGGACTGGTAAATGTTTAGCTTTTTGTATTTTTTATATCAATAGACTATAGAATTTTATAATATATTTTAATAAACCAAAGCACATTATATTATGCATTAATATATGTATTAATTGGATATTGTGGTTTGTAGTGGTTCAAGAAGCAGTTGGAACAGGAAATCCTGCGCTACTGCAGATGGTGCTAGCACGTAGGGATTATCAAAGATATTGCAATCGAGTAGCTGGTATCCCAGAACTACTTCACAAACTTAAACAAGTGGGTTACTTAGAACAAAGCAGAAAGTATAAAAATATTTTGATAAATCTAAACCAAAATCAAATGTTTTCAGGCTCCTGATTTTTATGTAGAAATGAAATGGGAATTCACTAGTTGGGGTAATTTAAATAATTTATAGCATCAGTATTTTAATCGTTATTAACATTATACTAATGTAATTTTTGTTATTAGTTCCCCTTGCCTCTAGAATGTGTCCTAGTGATACTTACAAAGTATACAAACAGGGCAGCAATGTAAGGATTGATACAACATTACTGGGATTCGATCACGTGAACTGGCAACGCGGAAATCGTAGTTATGTTTTCAAAGGACAAAGTGAGTATTTATAGTCATTACTTTGCATGGACAATGACACTTGTACGGACTCTTTTGATCTTCAGGTTCTTTGAGCGTTTTTCCTTTTATATTAATAGTAGTTTCTTTTATTTGTCCTTTAATTGTATATATTAAATGCAAGCTGCATCAAATGTACCTGTGGCAATTAGATGTGAACGGAGTTATGTGTTCAGTATGGTGGGACAGGAGTCAGGTGACAAATATTTTTACAATTAATGTGATGTACAGGATTTTAGAAAATATTTATTTTCATGTAGATGCGATGTTTTGTTACATACATATTTGTTTTTCTCTCTTTCCGTTATTAGTTTTATTTCTGTTTTATTATTTTTTAAATGTTTCGATACAATAAATTGAAGCTTCATCTGGTAAGTGTATATGCCATAAGTTGAAGATACTACATTTGTATTGCTATATAAGTATATAAATATCTGTTTTTAATATTTATTTATACACAAATTCAATGGAATTATTTAAGAAAAAATGATTAGAACTTTCATAATTAGTAGTAGTAAAGCAGAATATAATTAGTCTGTACCACATTGTAGAATAATTGTTTCGGTAATCATTTCATAATACTTGATTTTATCAATGTAAGAATAGAACTTTTCTTTCTACAGATGATGGAGCAACAATGATGGAAGTAGATCATGAAACGAGGAAGGTGTACGTTGAACACATGAAATTAATCGATGTTGATAATATACAACTAATGGAACCCTCTGATGAATGTGTATTAGCTCGCCTTACAAATCCTATAGTTACTACGTACATAGATACGGATAAAATCAGTTTCGAACGGTAACTACTATTCTATTACATTTTTATCGTTATTTATATCTACTTTGCTAATATTAATTTTGTTTGATTAGGAATAAGGCTGGCTTATGGGGATGGCGATCGGATAAAACCGAAATGATAAATGGTCATGACTGTAAGGTTTTTAGCGCTAGTAACGTAGAGTTAATAACCAAGACACGATTAGAGCATTTATCAGAACCGGATAAAGTAAGGGCTCGCGCTCCTCGTACGCCCTTGCAATCTTTTCTTGGCATTGCGGAACAGCAAGAGAATTGTCTTAATGCAACTACTAGTGTAACTTTTTTTGTTAATATTATATATATTTTATAGGTTTTAATTGTTAATTTATCAAATTATTTATTATAGGAAGAATATAACAATGTTGGAAATCCATCTAACATTACAGCTGAGGAATATTTTGATCCGGATGTTGATCTAAATGGAAGGGATATAGGCAGACCAAAGGAAGTTAATACTAAAATTCAAAAATTCAAGGTATTTCGGAGAGATTTTTGTACAAAAATATAATTTTAATTTATAATTCATCGATCGAATGTACGTGTAGGCAACTTTATGGCTTAGCGAAGAATATCCACTTAGTCTTCAAGAACAAATTATGCCAATTGTCGACCTAATGGCAATATCTAGTTCACATTTCGCTAAATTAAAGGATTTTATTCAGATGCAATTGCCAGCTGGATTTCCTGTTAAAATTGGTAAGTTTCAAGTTATGTAAATAATTATTTTTTATATAAATAGCACCATACAGTATTGAATTATATTGTGCATTATAGAAATTCCTCTGTTTCACATACTAAACGCAAGAATTACGTTTGGAAATATTTTTGGTATGGATCAGGAAGTACCTCATGTAGGTCATTTACAAGAAACTAATACCATGACGTGTTTAGTTGATGACACCTGTTTTGAGGCTCCAACGGGATATGTAAAACTAGGTGAATAGAACGTAATATTACGACTACTGATAGCGCAAATAGGGGTTTTGAAGATTTGCTTCCAATATATTGTTCATGTCTATCACTATTTCAACCTTTTCAGTATATAGATCTGAAAAATATTCTAGATAATTTAATTTATAATTTTTGTATAGGTGCTGAAGTTCGAACGCAATTCAGTATTGAAGAGGAAGATGATTTGTTACAATTCGCTATACAACAAAGTTTATTGGAAGCTGGAAGTGAACGCGACGAGGTATACGAAATTCATTTTTCATCATTATATTTTCACATGGATGCATTTTAATCCTTTAATCAATTTAAATAAGGTTGACATATGGGAAGCTTTGAGAGCCCAGAAACCATCCCGACCAACAACGCCGAACATGACCGCGGAAGAGGAAAGGCAGCTTCAAAGGTACGAGAAACAGTTTGCTCGAGTGAATGTCGTTTTGGACACCTTGGTTTTATTTGAAAATTTCTAAACAATTTATTTTGCATGTGTTCTTTTCTTGCCCGACAATTCATATTCAGGAAGGTGGGTGAAGGATACCTGTTACAAACGTTGATTTAACTTCACACGATCATTTGAAGAGAGTTTCAAAAATGTATTTTCTTAGCCCTCATTTAGATAAAACTTCTCCACAAAAGCACACATTCTTGCATGAAATGCAAGAAGACGCGATCGGTGCGCGTTAGAAGAGAAATAGTTCTCTGATTTTGTTTAGATATCCCATTTTTTCGTGCGCTTAGCCAGAGTCTAGACCTTTTGTACGCACTGACGTGCCTAGAATGACAGTGTTTAGAAACCGTTCTCTAACGAATTACGATAAAGACTCTATTTCTTGTTTAATGCAGAGCTATTCAGGCAAGCCTGACGCTGTATCAGGAGAATGCTGCTTCATGTACGAGCGCTCGGAATAACTCGAACAGGAACAGCGATACGGAAGATTCTGATGCGCTTGAAGATACGGCAGAACAATTGAGAATAGCGTTGAGACTGTCCGAGCAACAACAACTTGAGGAAGAACAACGCCGGTTGTTGGAAGAAGAAACGTTCCGGCAAGTGTTGGAACTGTCCCTTACAGACAAATGAACTAAACGATGTGCAATAGTCTTTAATGAAATTCGATCAAGTTGTACTTCCACGACCACGAGAAATCTTCCGGCCGCGCAATGTCGAGACTGTCGAATATGAAACATTTCCTACGTCTCGTAGTGTGCATCATTCGACAGTGGTTCTTGTTACAGAAAGCAGGTTGCACCCTCAACTGCAAAGTAACTAGACACATAGTATCTCCTTTTTGGTTGAGGGAAGTCGAAAATCGTTCTTCTGATAAGAACCACTTTTGGACGTTGTGCATTGAGATATAAAACTGTTGCATGCAGCAGGTATTTGTTACAGCGGGAAATAGTAGTACAGCATACAGATCAAACGGTGAAGATCGTATACAATATTAACTATGAAAGTAAATAATTTAACTTATGTTATTTATTTCTTAGCTACATTTTATATGAAAGGAAAACTTTAGTAGTATACGAGGATCATGGTACGTAACGATAAGAAGTCTTGAAAATTACAATCACTCTGGCGGAATATGTCGGAACATTTTTCTTCGAGTCTAAGATTATATTTGACCCATTATCAATTGAATAAAAATTCATCTTGTTGAAAGTGCGTGCTGTAAGTTGCGACTGTCAATACTTAAAATAAAAAGCTTGTAATTCTCAAGCCTTCAACAGTTATTCGTTTTGTCCTTTTCTCCTGGCATTAGATTTTCGTTCTCGAAGTTTTTAGTACCAAAATAAAGTAACATTTAACGAATTTTTATCTGAATTCTATGTAACAGTATGCTAAAAACTGCCTCTCTTAGTATTCGGGCTATGGAAACCTATTCCAAGTTCCTCTTTATACCCGTGATAAAATAATTGTAAGTAGCGTTTCAATTCATTAAGGATAACAATGATGTAATAAC